TATCATCGTCGAATTCTGTAGATATAATTGAGATGAGAAATGAATTTTACGAATTCTCATTTGATTGCAATTTCAAACTAATTTTATTTACAGGTGTGAATGTGTTGCAAGGTTTCGAAGAGACCTTACCACTCGAATTGTCGGACTTTCAAGATACGGCCTTCTTTTCCATACAAGACGAACATCGATTGCTCTGGTTTGCAGCTGCCGTCGATTCTTCAAACATGTTACTTTATCAGTTTGTTGTAAGTATGTCGATCACAGTTATATTCAAGCACATCTTATTTTATGCCGGAATAACGGGAAAAACACTAGCTTTTTTTAAAATTACAACAATGTCTTTCAGGATGATAAAGCTCAACTCGTCGGAACGTATCCGCAATATAATGGAAAGCGGATAATCGTAAATAATTACAACGCTAATACGTTTATAGCCGTGCAGAAAGATACCGACGGAATCATCATTCTGCGCCTCAGCAAAAACAAAAGCGGAAGGTACGAATTGCGGTTCAAGCAAGAGTTAGAAATTCCCGAAGTGGTGCATATGTCTATGTGGCTTGGAATGAATCAGCTGTACTTGGGAATCGCGTCGGAATCGAGAGTATTCATCTACGTCTGGCTTGGCGAGAATTTCGACAAGATCGACACGTTGCTCTATGGAGCGAGAAAGCTCTTGCCCTTCCAGAACAAGAGTTTCATGCACGTCGTCGTCGTAGGATCGCTCACGAAGATACTCCGGTTTTCCGTGCGCTCTAATAGATTCGTAGAAATGCAGGAATTACGTTACGCTAACGACGTCAGTTCGTTTCATTTCAAAGAGGGTCATTTCGAAGAGCGTTTTCTGGTTTTGGCCGATAACGAGTCCACAATCTTGTATAAGGAGATGTACGGCCGTTTTGTACCGTTTCAAAGAATCGCTCATCCGACGAGGTATATTCATTCCCTGACGATGGAAAACACTGTCATCCTTCTCGCATTAGAGCAGGGTACCGTGAGAATTTATCAGTACAACGGCTGGAGATTTGTGGAATTGAGCACGAAATTATCGAACATTCGACAAATTCATTCTATTCGCTTGTACGAAGACGAAGACGTGCTAGTGGCGTGTAATCAGGTCGGAGAATGGAAGTTTTTGAGACCCACTTGGACCGTGAAGAAAACATGGGAAGAAATACAGGAGGAAATAGCTGCTTGGTGTTCCGAGACAAAGCGCAAGGCGTCTCAGAGAACCTTCGTAAAACTTCCAGATTTAAAAAATCCCGTGATTTCGAACGCACACATCGGTCAGCTTCGTGTGCAGAACGTAAGACATTGTCTCTCACTCTTTGTTAGTTTAAATAAAAAAAATAGTATTTTATATTTTAAATCGATTAATAAAAATAATAAAAATCTAGATTTAAATGTTGCCAGATAAACGGTCAGAACGCAGAGGAATTGGTCCGTTTGACGAAGCAATACAAGCGTACAAATGCCAAATTAAATCTAACGCGCAGCCTGTTGGCAGAAAAGACAGAAGATGCCAAGCATGCAATCTTGCATGGTAAAAATATTTCAGTCAAGTGTAAGACGAATTATCATGTTCATCGTTTAATTACGTCATCTGTATTACGAATTGTCATGTTTATCGTATAATTACGGATGGCGGGATTAAATGATGAACATGACAATTCGTCTTACAGTTAAATACGTGGAATCGGAACCTAATCAGGTCCTGCAGTTCGCCAAATTGAAAGTACCGACGATAAATAACTGGAAATGTCCCGTTCCTAATTTCAAGATAGATGATATATTCGTTAAGGAATCTGTTAACGGGATCCTGATGCGAGACCTGCAAGAGAGAACTTTAAAAGTTTCGGGAGATCAAGTAATTTCAGGTGATTTAATGCATTCTATATGTTGGTTTCTTTTTCATTACATTTGATGTATGCTGCATTACGTTATACTTGATATATGTGTTTTAGGTAATCATCTCTTCACCAACTTGCATGCGACAAACGTTTCGATTCCGTTAAACATTGCAACGAGAAGCTTTAACCAAACAGTGTACATGAAAGAGGCAAAAGTAAACAATTTATGTCTAACCGAGGACGCATTCTTCTTACCATTGAATGGTTCCACCACTGTAATGAATGGTTCGTTAACCGCTGCGAAAGTGCGAGTTACAGGACTTGTCGAAGCGTCAAGCATAAGATTAAGAGGCAAAGAAAGCGAAAAATTAAAGCCTTTGAAAGAGATTCTTACACCATTGACATTGCATGGTGATCGCTTCCTGCAGAACGTGACGTTCAGAAACTTCGCCAGAGCTAAGGATATCGTCAGACCTCGCGGGCTGTCGGTGAAGGAAATCTTAGAGAATATCGTACCGCTAGATTCTAATGTATCGACGCATTTGATATTATCTAGCGACAAAACAGTAATTATTTTAAAATTTATATCTGTATGTGCATGTGACGATTTCAAATTTATTTTACATTTTGATCTTCAGCAATGGAGCAACGTGACTTTGTGCGACTTCATTACGAATTGGGTAACGAAAAACTCTGCTGAAACTATCGTTATTTCTGGTATAAAATACACTAATAACAGTGTCCTTTTGTCAAGAACTGCTTATGAAAATCTTCCCATTCCAAAGTACACACATTTCTTTGCTTTATGAAGCATATAGATTGTCCTAGATTTTCTATTAATTTCTAAAAATATATATTTGCAGATTGACGATTCCCCTGTGTGCTGAGGAAGTTATCATCCCGGAAATTATAACTTCTCCAATAAAAATGGGCGATGTAATTGTAAAAAATTTAAATGTCTCGCACGTTCTTGGAGCTCGTAATTTGAACACGACCGTCTTCGATTCGGTGTCAGCTTTACAAAGCACTGACTTTTCAACGAAACTATTCACAGGTCAGGTCTTCGTGAAGAATATATCAGCGTCAAAAATTAAGGGAACAAATCTAAAAGGTAAAAATAACTTAAATTCGCCTAAATAACTAAAATTCTCCACACTATACTTATAATCTATATTACATAGATTTTAAAATTGAAATGAACAAATGGGTAAGCGTAAACCGCTTCAAAGGACCAGTAAATATTGCGAAGCTCGTCGTTAACAATCTCGAAACGCCAGCCTACCTCAATCTCTCTTTACCTAGAAGAGTAAAGAACGTAGTCGTAAAAGGGGATAGCGATATCGAAAAAATCAACAACATAGATATACAATCTTTTATAGAAAATGTATTAAAGGTGGACGACCCGATTTCTTTAGGACACGTAACATTCGGTAAGTTTAACATCTAATATTTCCCATTAATTTGAAATGAATAAGAATTCAACGCGTAATTTTTTTTTCAATTTTTGTGCAGCTCGTGGTTTTATGTCGAACAACGTACATGCCTCCCACTCGACGTTAAAACTTTCGCATTTAGATACGCATCTCAATTTGGGTTCAAAACGAATTTCCACGACTTTAAGTGCAGAAGCGATAAACGTGCCACAGACCTTTGGTTACGTCGCGAGCGATGCACCATCGACATTTATTGTACAAGGTACACAGTAACGGAATCAAGTTACATTTTATGACGAAAAAATTTTAAATAATGTGTTAATATTTCTATTTTAGGATCAGTCAGATTTTTAGAGGAACCAGCTATACAAAATATAAATGATATGAATCTGAAGCAATTATCTGAGGATTTATGGATGGCAAATCAGGACACAGTTTTATCTGGTAGCAACATGAACCTTGAAAACATAACTCTGGAAGGAAATGTTACATTAATGGTAAGAACAACGAAAGATTTATTTACTTAAAAAAAAAAGGATAATATTAAATATAAGAATTTAATCGTTCTTTCAGAATGAAAATAATTCGTTGAATGTAAAAATGTGGTTGAACATGAAGTCCAGAATTTTAAGCAAAACGAAACCACAGCATATTAGTGTACTTGCATCGTTTAAGAATGTCGAGGTACCTGCTATCAAGGCAGAGAATAATTCAACTCTCCAGTCGTTAGACTTGAATTTGAATAATTTGCTGACTAATTCCTTGATGAGAAATACGGCGCAAATTATAGATGCTGCATGGAATTTTGAAGAATTGTACATAAGTAAGGCAGTTTTAATAGAGGACAGCTATATTGTTTCTCTTAACGTTAAAAAGAAAAGATAAATTAATTATTTCTCTCACACAACTTAGATAATATGAATTGGGATGGTAAATTTAACGGCATCGACTTAAACACGGATATCGTTAGGCGTGGCGCAGAACAGAATATTGTCGTCGGGAAGAAAACGATATCGGGTTTGACAACTAAAAATCTCTGGTCGTTAAATATAAACTTTTGGAACTTTACTAAACATGCTTTGACTCAAAGATGTCAACGGAAACTGTATGTAATTAAGGGTCAAAAAATCTTTAACAACATTACTTTGAACAATTTGAGGTATTTTTTGCCGAATTAATATTTTTGCCGGAGTGATATTCTTATTAAATATCGCTAAGAACTCAGTTTTTTTCTCTTTAGTGTCAGACATACGATTATGGGTCGCAACATCGACGACGCGTTACTGAAGTTCGGCAATCAAACACTATTCGGCACCAAAAGGATAAAAGGCCAGCTTAATGCGCCGTCTCTTATTATTGATGGCACTATGAATGACGTAAATCTGACGAAGTTAATGAACGAGCAGATGAAGAAACATAAAGCGGTGCAGACGATAGAAAGTAAGATGGATTTCAGAAATGATTTAGAAGTTTACGGAAATATCACAATCGATGGACTCTACGAAGGGATAAACTTAACAAATATTGGTAGTCAAAATGAAATAGATACCGTCTTGAATAGAATGACGGAAGTCGTGGCACTGACGGAAGACATGAAAACTGCATTGCAAAGTAAGTTACACATTTAGATCGTTAAACGGTGTTCGAGTATTGACAGTGTTAATCCGATAATATATTATTATTTTGTATGCAGATCGTGCTATTTACGTGAGCAAATTTGAAGCGGTAGACGAGGATGTGTTGCTCGCCGCTTCTAACATTTCTAACGCAGAGAACGTGAAGCACATGAATCTTAACAGTACTTGTCTTTGCGAGTCAGAAAATATTTCCTTTTGTAACGATACGGAATTATTGAACGTTGTAGCCGGTACAAATATCAGTTCGTTTATGACAGAGAAATTGATACGGCTGGACGATGCTATATTTTTAGTATTAGTGTCAACAGATTTTGTCTCGATTTATTCATTTATCGATGAGAAACAATTTTCTCAAGTAGCAGGTAAGTCTCATAGAGAAGTATTATTTACAGTCACGTTAACAGTGAAGAATTATAACGTTACGAAATAATGTTTGACAGGATTATATGTGCCCGGTATATTTGAAGTATCTGTGGAATCGATTGATAATTCATTGTGGATTTTCTTGCGATTGTCCGAAGAAACCTTGATATTGCGTTATCATACGTGGAATGAACTCGAGCAATACGTTTTGCCAGGCTCGGCTTCGTTTGTAATCAGTAAGACACCGAATAGTCAACATTTGCTAATACGATCCGACGGCATGTGGAATCTCGGAAGGCTCTTTCGTCCTGAGCACATTTTTAAAATGCCTCTGGAGGGACGAATAGAGACCTTCGCTCTCGGCGCCGATTACTACGTCAAAGCGACAACGGAAAACAGTACAATTGTTTTAAAAGCACGATATGTAGGGAACTAATATACGTAAAGTGTTTCTTAGCAATTTCCCCGGTGAGTTTATTCAAACTCAGAAAACGTATATCTATAAATGGTTCTTTCTTTTACACTCTATATAATTTATATATTTATATATTTATTCTTACTTGCATTAGCTTGAAATAAAAAAGGGAGAAAAATACGATAAAAAATTTATAGATTGCATAATAATTGTGTATCTATGTTAACCGCGTCAAAAAAAAAAAATATATATATTGAACTGCATTAAAATTATTTCTAATTTATTATCACAAATGCTAGATAAAGATGTAAAAAAGCGAATATTACAGAGATCAGGTAGGGCCAATTTGTAAGTTAAGCCTTGATCGTCATTATCGTGGAAACTGTCGCCTAAGAAAGAAATAAAAAAGTTTATTATTACCTATAAAACGTAATTAATTGTAATGACACGTACTTTTGCGGCGTCTTTGAGGACCATTATTTCTTTCGTTTCGTGGGTTTTGTACTCGTTGATCTTTTTTGTCTCCTCGACTTTGTGCCGTCTCTGAAAATCGGTCACACGTAATTTTGTGACATCACTTGCGCACGCGTGCTCTCTCTTTCTCTCTCTAATTATAGACTTGATCTACGAAACGTAAGAAAATCGACACGCTCGATGGCAAACGCGTATCACAAAAATTATTTCGGCTAGTCTCGCAATCGAATGTGCGATAAGATGCGCGTGTACACCAAGTAAATGACCAGCAGTATGCTACGCATCATCAGCATGATGTATGATGGAAACGATACTAAGAGGCACTTGGATTTATAAAGAATGCTTAGGAGCAACGATTGTACAATTGGGCTCTCAGCCCGTACCGGTTCCCTCCTCGCAAACTTCTCCTCGTGTTTCTTGCGCTCCTCGATCGCGTTGTTCAGCGCGATCTGCTCCGCTGGCGTGAGCACCAGAAGGCGCGGATCCATGGCGATCCAGTCGCTTTGCACGATCTGATCCAAACGCCAGCGTTTAGACACGTCCGGCTCGAGCAGACTGGTCACGAGCTTCTTCACGCGATCAGTCAGACTCTCCGTTACTTTGCTGCGGAATTTCCATTTGCGCGCTATCTGCAGCTCGTATAAACGCTTTATGTTGTCCTCGTCGAACGGCATGGCCTTGTTCAGCAGTATGTAGAGGATCACGCCCAGCGACCATATGTCGGATATCTTCGGATTGTACGGGTAACCGCGGAGGATCTCCGGTGCCACGTACGACAGCGAGCCGCAGTACGTGTCGCTCAGAACGCGCTTACCACGGCTGTCGATCGTGTAACGAGCAAAACCAAAGTCCGCCAGTTTGACGTTGTAATTCGACGTGAGAAGAACGTTCTCGCACTTGATGTCACGATGCGCTATTTCCATCTCATGTAGATACTGAAGACCTGGAAAATGAATAGTGCGTTAGGAAAAGCACCTCCGTTTGGTATGAGTAAACGCGCAAAGATATGATTGAGTTTACACAGGCCTAGCTCATCGAGCACAACTGTTCTTATTCGCAACTAATCTTTTCAATAAATAACGCCATTTCTTCATACCTAAAGCGAGCTGCCGGAACCACACGCGGGCCTGATTCTCCGCCACCGCGCCGTTCTTCAGGATAAAATCAAGCAGATCACCGTTCTCGGCGAAGCGCATGAATATGAAGTACTTGGTGCGCCTCTGGAAAATGCTGTGAACGTGCACGACGTGCGGATGATTCAGCTTCACCAGAATGTCCAGTTCGCGAGGCAGGAATTTCCGAACGAAGTCTTTTGGCGCGTTTGCGGTGTCGATAATCTTGCAGGCCAAGGTGCTATTTTTCTCCGACTCATGTTCCGGCTTATACTCGGCTAAGTACACCTACAATAAACATTGTTTAAAGTAACTGAGTTTAAAGAAAAGACCAACAGAAGTTTTTTAATTAGGGTGACATACCTTTGCGTAACAACCTTCGCCGAGCTTCCTCACCAGCTTGTAACCCCGGGCTAGCAGTGTGGCCTCCTCGGACGGTGTCTGGCTCAGGTGCGACATGAGATTCGTGGGACAACAGACGGCATTCTATCCACCGCGTTACCATAATTCGTAATTAGCCGTTCTCACTTTGCTCGACGTTTAGACACGGATTGCATCGTGAATGCGGATAATCCGATGACGTAGAATCCCCATTTGTGCATTCGACAAATGCAAATTGTGAAGACCTTTACCGCACTGTTCTACTTCTTTGTCGGCGACGATGACGAATCTATATACTAGAAATTTTGTAGAGTCCGCACTGGCGGTTACTTGACCATTTTGACGAAATGTAAGATGACACGAGTGCCAATGGACAGCGAATCAAGCACGGTCGCGTGCTTATCGAAGTATCAAATCGAAAGAAACAATTGAACATCATGAGAAATAGAAAAGCAAGACAAATTTAATGAAGACAATATGTCTATACACAAATATAAAACATTGGAAATTATCGACATAATTTTGTAATTTTCACAGCTTAAAAAATTTCTTAATCAATTCGTAATCATTTCACACATTTTTTCACAGTTCGGACTCCAATCGTTCAATGACCATCTTATATTCCTCCTCCAAGATCCGGTATTCCTTTTCTAGTATCTCTCTACGTTGCTCGTCGGATGGTAGACCGTTGCCGTTCGTGCACGTGCTCTTCTCCGCGGTATTCTTCAACGCGCGTTCTATTTTCAGCTCCTCATTTTGTTTTCTCTTAAACGGTATATTCAGTCTCTTCTTCACGTCTATTCTGTACGCTCGATATTCTTCCGCGTCCGCGACATTTGTCGCCAGCAATCGTAGGATTTCGTACACTACGCGGGCCTGTTTCTGTGGGGAAAAAAAAAACATTTATATAAGTAAAACAAAGAGAAAGGAGGAAAACAAGCGGTAACAATACAAAATAAATCGCATGTTTATATAGACACCTTGTTTATTTTTAATTTGTTCCTAGCCTCAACGATCATTTCATTGTCGAAACCCTGCTTTAAACGTTTTGGCGCAAAACTGGACAGTGCGCTGCAGTTTAAGGCGTCTACGTAGTTTCGTAGTCGTTGGAATACCTCGGACGGAGTTTCCACTGTAAACATAGGCTCGTTAAAACACAGTTATTAACGCGTGAATGCTCTTTTGCCAAAAATTCCTTCCTTACCCGTTATATCTTTAACTTCACGCATTGCAATGTATTCGCGATAAATCGCTTGCAGCAAATGTTTGCCAAGACCTATCCTTCGAAATGGCGGTAAAATTAAGAATTGAGCGATGCGCGGACGAATGTGTTGCGGATAAGCGTAATATCGATATACAGTTGCGAAACCAATCGTCGCATATCGAGTGGTACCCATAGGCGTGGTATATCTTTCGAATCTATTTCGGGAAAGAGTGATTGTTTAACGAAAACGTTTATATTATATGCAGCTATCTATTCATCGATTCAAATAGCGTCGAGTCATACTTACAAATTAAAATACTGCCACTGTTCATCGTCAAGATCGATGAAAAGAGCTGCGTCTATGTACCAAAGAAGGAATGTTTGAATCCTTTGATGATACTCCTTAAATCCTTTGTAACCCATATCGGCCTTGTAGACCACAAATTGCCTCGCTGTACCTTCATCTGTGCATCGAACAGCAAAAAAAGAAGGGCAATAACATAATCATTTTGTTTAAATGTTATCTTTAAACGAAACGTATAACGTATATGAAGAATATTAGATACCGTCTAGCGAGAAAGAGTGTATCAATTCTCCGTACGGTGTGAATGTATCATCCTTGGCGAGTGCCTTGGTGAAGTTGGCTAAGCTGTAGTGAACGTCGGGGGCGAGCTTTGGTGCGATCTTTGATAACACCTCGTCGGCTTCGACTCCTTCGAGCTTTGCGTTTACCTTCTCGGTATATTTCATTCCCAGATACGTTTCCAAGCAACCCGCTGAGTAGAACAGGTGTATTTTCAAATCCAGATAACCAAATATTATCTCCCTGTAAAGAATAAAGAGAACAAGGATAACAATTTATATATATGCATGAAAAATATGTCTGCATATAATTTTTTGTGTAGTAATTGACGAAGCATGAATTTTAACAAATTAACATTACAGTGACGAACCTATCTCCGAACACCTGATAAGTCATCTCTGGCTTGAAGACAGCCTCTTCCGAGTGCAGGTCGTTAAGGTTGCGGATCAACCTGAGCTCCAGGGCTTCGTTGCCGTCCGTCACCAGCTTCTTCAGCCGCGCCGTCATCGAGTCCTCCATTTTCCCAAGGAAAAAAATCAACGGGAGAACAATGTGTGGACCGTTAAAATTCCCGAACGACTCCTGACTACGAGGATCTGACCCTTGGAAATAGGGTTCGATATAGGTTAGAGCGCCGCGAGGAAGCGACGTCGAGACGTCGACGGGAACGGACAACCACCTGGCGTCGACGTGCACGATCAGATTAACCGGTCGAAGCCTTTTACTTTAATTTCTGTCGCCCGAGTGATTTGGCGCCAAAACACGACGGTTTCGAGCAAAGTGATCTCTGGAATGAGCTCGACAGTCCGTTCCTGTTGCTTCTTCAATCATCGACAAGATACTATCAAAGACCGACACTACCGACAATCTTATGGGAATTTTCGCGTGATTGAAATTTCGACGGTTGTCATAATAGAATATTAATTATTATTTCGACATTTTGTGGATATGTACTGCGACTCGATAATGTTCAATTTTTATTTAAAACCGCACTTACATTGTTATCATCCGCGTTTGATTATTCATATTTGATTGATGATTGTTGCAAAAATACAATTTCGCAGCGATATATATAATATTATTATGTTGTAAATATGCAACTTATTTAAGCATTATTTGTATAATAAATAATGAATTTTACACATTATAAATTATAATTGTTCAAATATTTATATTGACAGTCGATAATGTCAATACTCTTTTTCAATTATCCTATTTGACGGTCACAAAAGCCCAAGATTGGCTCTCTACAATAAAACCTCGCATTTTAATCTATAACTTTAGCGTAGGGCTTTTGCGGTTTAAAACCGCAAAAGTCGAGCGTATAATAATTACTAATGGATAATTTAAATGAATTAAATCTCCCTTTTCAGTTTTCGTTCCCAAACAGCTGAAACCTTCTGCCACTTGATATTTTATGAAATAAAAATTTCTATTTCTATTTAGATAAGCCAAGCCGATCTTGATATGATCTGACAATTCTGACAAATCCGCACAGCTTTTCTTAGAAACTTATGTTCGAAAGATATATTATTATTTTATTTAAAAAAGTCAAGTCGATATTTATATGATCTTGACAATTCTCCATAAGCAAACTGAGATCGTTAAATTCTATTTCCTTCCTAAGAACTGCACAACTTTTTTTGGAGACAATATTTTCGTAAAATAAATTATTTCTTAAAAGATTACTTGTTTAAATAAAAAAGAATTACCCCATATTTTACATGCGTGCGTATTCTGCCATTTCAAATGTTTTTCATATTATGACATGTATTATAAAATCATTATTTTATCAGGAATGAAAGATTGCCCGAAACAGGTTTTATTCTATATATTATCCTTCAACACACTTTCGCGACAAGTATTCAATTAGATTTAGATATGTAGAGCGAGTTTTAGGATGCGTTACCTGGGAGATATAAACAACTCTGTTACTCTGATTCATGAAATAGAGCCTGACATGCCTGACATGCCTCGAACATTAAAGAAGCAGAAAAGGAAAGAAATCGCGAGGAAATCGTGGAGGACGCGGTTGAGAGAGGAAACCGTTCGTTTTACACACAGCAGAGATATTATTGTTGACTCTTCATAAAAAGTTCTCGAGCGAAATGGCCGTGTCTCTGCAAACACGCGTTTTCTACGGCCTGAAAACGGACATCGCCGGTAACGCGCATTATGTCACGGATGCAGAAATTTTATATCCGGTTGGCAATGCACTGGCGATTCATAATGTTCTTCAGCATCAGCAGAAATTGATTCGATTACCCGACAAGTATCACGCAAACGTCATTTGCATCTCGCCTAACAAGTGAGCGAACTTGATGAAGTACATCGACGGGCACACTTGCCTGTAAAAAATAAATAAAATAAGACCTCGTGCCGTATGAAAATAAATGTTAATTGAAGCAAATTCTCACATTTTTAATTTTGACAAAAAGAAACGTAACAACTGTTAGAATTTATAAAGACGAAGAGAAATAGAAAGATAGTTTTACAAGTCAAATGTCTGAAAACATTTCAATCTCTCTGTTAATTGCACATAGATAATTTTAATTAATCTATAATTTCAGGAAATATGTTGCCTTATCCGAAGTAGGGGACAAGCCTGTCATATCCGTTTACGACATCAGTTCTTTGAAGCGTAAAAAGCTACTTGGAATACCTTACGACGCTCCGGGAGTGACCAAGTTTACGTGTCTAGGTTTTACTTTCGACAGTAAGAATCTAGTGGCGATCACCGGCGAGCCCGATCAGACGATGCTCTTCTACAACTGGGAAAGGGGCAAAGTCGAGTCGACGTACAAGCTGACCAATTCACAAAACCCTTTGGCGATCGCCAACGTGTTGGCCTGCAATCCAACGGACGCGACGGTGGTGGCGATCGGCGGGCCTTACACCTTCAAATTTCTCACCGTTTCCGAGACGGTGTGGCGCCCGTACGGTTTCGCCAAGGCGGAGAATCTCCTCGTCTGCTCGATGGCCTGGTTGGACGGCGACAGACTGCTGGTCGGCACCGAGGACGGTCGCGTGCTCTATCTGGAGAACGGCGATCTCAAGAACATGTACAGAATGTCCGACACGGTGTCGATGAATCTCAAGATTCGCGAGGAGTACGTTATGCCCACCGCCACCAGCTCGCAGATAACGCTGGAGGCCGGTGACGATGTTACCTGGCAGCAGAACGTGGACTGCTTGATCGCTTTCCCACGTGGATTCGCCTACGCGCATGGCGCGGGGACGGTGGTGCTCTACGAGAAGGAGGGCAAGCACAAGTACACGAAGAGAAACGTCTACGTGATTCCGCAGCGAGTGGTGAGGGACGACGATCCGGATCTCTACAGGATCAACACGATCAACGTGAATCCCAGCTTCGACCGGCTGATCATCGCCGCCGGCTGGTCCCAGCTGTATTACGCGACGCTGTGGGGCCCGGACCTGCAGATGGACCCGGAACCGCAGAAACTGAAGATCATGGGTCAGCCGTTGCATCACGGCCCTATCAGCGGTCTCGCCACGTGCGCGTGGAAGCCAGTCTTCATGACGTGCGGCGAGCTCGATCGTAGCGTCCGACTGTGGGACTTCGAGACCGAGAGCCTCATCATGCTGAAGCAATATGACGAGGATATATCCACCATCGCGTTACATCCGATGGGGCTGTTCTGCCTGATCGGCTTCACCGACAAACTGCGCTTCATGAGCATCCTGATCGACGACTTGCTACCGATGCACGAGATCGCCATCAGGAATTGCAAGACGGTTCGCTTCAGTTCCAACGGTCATCTGTTTGCCGCGGTCAACGGCAACGTCGTGCAGGTGTACACCACCATCGGCTTCTACAATCCCTTCGTCCTCAAGGGGCACACAGGCAAGGTGAAGGCCCTTCTCTGGTCGCAGACGGATCTGAAAATGCTGAGCATGGGCGCGGAAGGTGCTATATATGAATGGGACATGAACACTGGCACGCGATCCGGCGAATTCATATGGAAAGGCATCGCTCTCCGTGACATTGCGCTTTCCTCAGACACATCATTCACCTACTGCATCGCTCACGACGATCATATACGCGAAATCAAGGAGAATGTGGTATACCTTGATACCTTGATCTCTGATTTTGATTTTAGAAATTATGCGATTATTCTTGGAATTGTGAAAGATCTTTTATTTTCTCTTATTAGATTATACGAGAGTTTCGATTGCCCGGCAGAACAATGCAGCAAATGATCATGGGGAAAGATGACTTGACGCTGTTCATAACTTCTCCTGGTGGTGTCATCATCTCGTTGAAAAGCCCACTTCAATCTCCGATAGAGTCAACGGACTTCCATATACACTGCGTTGATATTACGCAGGTATTTCTCTTCTTCTAAATACATTGACAATAAATTAAGATATAAATTGAATTAAGACGTATATAAATTTATTATAAGATATAAATTGTTTTTCCTAATCGCTCCGTTTAGATATCTTTCTTTCTCTAAATACATTAAAAATAAATCAATACATAAATTGAAGTAAGACTTATGTAATCTAATTAAGATTTAAGATTAAATTGCTTTTCCTAATCGCTCCGTTTACGTATCTTTCTACCTCTAAATACATTAAGAACAAATTAAGATTTAAATTGAGTTAAGCGGTATATAATTTAATTAGGGTATAAACTGCCTTCTCTAATCGCTCCCTTCTTTCTTCGTCTTAGATAGCGCTCTCTTACAACGAAAATTGCCTAATTTCGGTTGCGAAGGACGGTAGTTTGTGCATTTGGAAGCTGTACTCTCCCGAGGGGAAAATTATGAAGATGGGCCGAGATCTGCCGTACACGAACGAAGTATTAATCGGTAAAGGTGATTTGGAGGAGAAGATACACAGCATCAAGAATTTGACGGTGAGACTGAGAGAACTGGAAACCGAACACGCGTACAAACTACGGCAGATCGACGTTCAGCACAACGATAAATTACGCGATGTGCACCAAGGCTATTGCGAGGCCATCAGGGAACTTCGGGATAAGATCGAGAACCTTCAGGAGGACCATGTAAGCGAGATCAACGACATGAACGTGGAAATCGTGAAGATGAAGGCGACTCACGAGGAGGCGATGCAGCAAATGGAAAATGATTACGAGGCCAAGCTGATTACGGAATACGACAAGTATCAGGCGTTCGAGGAACGCACGAATGCCATGCGAGAGAATTACGAGATGCAATTAAAAAATCTCGCGAAACGTGACGCGGAAGAGCTACAGAGGACAGTGACGAAATACGAGGCTTTGCTTCACGAGAAGAAAGTGCAGTTGGAGGAAGCGTCCGACGAGATGACGCACAAGGAGCGCGTTCACGAGCGTCTGATGGCGCAGATAGAGGACGACGCGGATCGTGAGATTCTCGAGATACGTACGAGGTACGAGAACGTTCTGCACGCAGAGAGGCAGATCAATTTGAAGCTGAAAGGAGAGGCCGGGGTGATGCGAAACAAATTCATGGCTAGCCAGAGGGACGTGGACGATCTGAAGAGGCAGGTGCATCGGGTGCAAAGCGAATACGCGCAGTTCCACAAAAATATACAGGACCTCGAGAAGCAGATTGCGGATCTGAAGAAGGAGATCGCCGAGAGGGACACTACTATTGAAAGCAAAGAGCAACAGATATACGATATGAAGCGAACGAATCAGGAATTGGAGAAGTTCAAGTTCGTGCTGAATTACAAGATTGAGGAATTGAAGAGTCAGATAGAGCCGAGGGATCGGGAGATACAGGAGCTGAAGGATAAGATTCGGAGCATGGAGGAGGAGCTCATGAGTCTTCACAAGACCAACGAAAACCTGAAGCTGCAACTGAACGAAGAGCGAGAGAAATTGCACGTTGCGCGTCAAGAGATCGATCGCGAGGTGCAAAAGAACAAGCGGTGTCAGCAGCTGCTGCGAAAAATTCGCGTCGACATTGTCGACGCTTCGGAACTTGTCCACGAACCGAACGCTCTGAAAACGGCGGTGACGAATTTATATCACAAGTACAGCGCGGACGATGAATTTCTACGTAGTCGCAAAGCGGACGTCGATGCGCAGTGCGAGTTCATCAGGCAGAGGGATCATATGGAGAGGACTATCGCGTCTCTAAAGAAGCAGATGCGCCAGGACACGTCTGTCGGTGATAAGGATTTGAAGATGACGGAGGAGAACAGCATGCTTATTGTGGAATTGAATGCATTGAGGGAAGAGTTGAAGGAAGCTCGAGAACGCATTCTGCATATGGAGAGCCTGCTGGGTTTAACGCAAAAAGACGTACAGCCCGCGGAAGCGAGAAAAATTTTAGAACAAGCGTATCGCGGATACCAGGAGTTGCAGGAGAAATATACGAAGCAAATACAGGAACATCAGCAAATTATTTTAGCATTAAAGGAAGATATCAAGCTGTTATTGAGCAAAGTTCCTTGCGAAGAGACGGAAGGAGAAAAGACATTGTCTTGAGTAAATTTTGTGACATTTAATTGTTTTCTCACGGATTTAAGTATTGTAAAGTTTTAACGACAAATTAATGTTTCAGCATATTTTTTACATATAGTAAAAATAATTTTGTACGTACATATACATATTCCTTCTATATTGTAATTATAATAATATATGTAAGAGTATATACTGTATATATTTATTCAGAGAAATAAAAGCGCTCTTATATTCATAATATATATTATTTCGTTATAGACAAAAAATAAACTCCACCTTAGGATTTATATAAAAATAAAAAATTGGAACTAAAATGCATATCTATCTTTTGTTCTTTTACTACTGAAAATTGACACCATCATTTGTCACATGCTTGCGACATTAGCTGTAATTGCTAAATATATCCATTAAATATATCCTTAATCTTAATATTTCTCAAAAATAAAAACAGCAACAAAATAAAATTAATGTAGTATCGCGAATTTTACCGACGTTATTCTGTGAATAAGCGCCTTAACTTAGAGAACGAATGGAATGATGGCTTTGCGGTTTTTCGGATAATGCGAGAATTCCTTCTTGTACGCTCTATGCTTGCCCAGTGCCCACACGGTCATTTGATATGCGCCGGCAAACGCGAACAGACCAGCTGAAAATTAAAACATACGATTCATCATACAACAGCTTCGTTTGCATAAAATATTAAAGGTCAAACGTTCGCGCATGAAATTTTAGTGGCACAGACGTACCTGGAAGACACGACGTCATTATGGTGAAGCCAATCCAACTGCCTATCTCGTACGTGTAATTGGGACAGGAGACAAGGTTGAAGAGCGCGGTGAAAGGATTGCCGGTCGGCATCGGGACTTTCCTGACCGTAGTGCCTGGCGGTCTCAAATTTCTCAGAGCTAAATGGATACTGAGATTGCCCAGCTCGCACAGCGCGAATGTCGCCGCTCCGATGTAGATTTGGAGCGCGGAGGGGGCCGTGTACAACGGATGATTTGTATGATACGCCACGTACATAGTGAAGAGCCAGTAATAGGAGCAATTCTTAAATAAGTTACGCAACGGCATTGTTGCGTGGCTGAAACGATGAACGAATACGGTCTCCAAGAGACGCTTCGCATAGTGCACTGTCCAGGCAGCTGCCGCCCAACTAAAAAAAATAAGAAAGAAAGTTACGTACAGTACCGCAGGAGAAATGGTTATATATAAATATAGATCGTAATTTTCATGTCATACAATTAATTACAGTGACTTACTCAGTTACATAGTGAAAATTACTGGTGTTCACGTGTCCGTAGAACAGCCAGGGACGCTGATACAGCCAGAGGTACACTACCAGAGGTCCCGCATACTCCAGCAGGAACACAGTCTTCCAACCGATCTGAGGACCGAGATCCTTGTAATACAACTTGCCACCCTCCTTCAGCGACAGAGATTTAATTGTCTCCGAGTCGGACAACGCCTTCCCCTTGGCTTCCGTTCTCAGACTTTGCCTCTGCACGTACGGCGCTTTCTTTAATTTGTACAACTGCTGTTTCACCTCCCCTATCGTGGTGCTCGGGTTTACCTGCAATAAAGACGCACGTCGCGTCAGGTGACAAAGTTCAGTTCGCAGACCTTCGATACCTTCGCAAATCGAACTTCGAATTATCATATTCTAATCAAAACTCCAAATCGAATATCCCGGCTTTACAGTCGTGTCAGGATTCGTTAATCGCACTCACATTCACATCAGCTATCAGCTTCGAAGATTTCGCACACAAGACCTGGATCTGAAAGTGGAAAAAAAGGAGGATAAATACGCAATATACGCGCACCGTCGAATTCCTTCGCGCGACGACGATCTCCCTCGAATCCTTACCTCCATCTTCGTCAATACGGCCGACTCTCACGCGTAGAGAACACCGTCCAACACTGTCGTCCTTCCGCACTGTTCCGCACCGCGGGTCACACTCTCTCCGGCTGATGGACTCTGTCCCGTCGCTCGTCGCTCCCGGTAGTCCCGATCCCGGTCTTGCCGTTCGTGGCCAACTTCATGCGGTTGGCGGCACGCGGCGCCGCGCTCATGGTCACGTGGTCATGACCCTCTTTTCGGTCACTGGCGTTCTCTGTGGATTCCCTCGGAAAATCTGATAAATTGAGACGTGACGATAATTCGCGTTGAGTTATGAAGGGAAAAAGATAAATTAAATGAACGAAATTCGAATCAGACGTCGCTCGCAATTATCGCCGATGAACTGCAGTCGCGCGTGTAAAAATGAGTCCGCTTTATGTACTGGATATGTACATACATTCAAAATTTACATAGCGTATGCTATGTAAATTTCGTCGCGGAATGACGCGACTGTTTCCACGTAGGCGCATAAATAAAAACGTAAATACAAAATATATATAGGCGCGAGCAAATATTTCTTCTCCGTTTGAAGTTTAAACATCGTTTCATCTCTCTTCCGCCGATTGCGCGTATGGCGTGACCCTTATATAATCGCGCGATTATCATAAACGCAACAACGATGTATGATAATCATATAATAATAATAATACTAATAATATACAGCGTATAGTTAATGCATATCGTATCAATATTATTCATGATAGCACAAAGTTTTATCGGCTTACGTAATACTTTCTAAAAAAAATAATAAGCAGCAATCAATCGCTGATAATTAATTTTTGACTTGCTAACCTTGCGATTCAAGTTTTTTTTTATACATGATGTAATATAAACATTTTTGGGTATTTACTATGGAAAAATATTCAGTATGGATTTTGCGAGCGGAAATTGTGATGTTTTTTTTAATTTTTGCTCTTGGAACGTTGCTTTTGAGCTTGTTTTTGGTTACGATATCTCGTTGGAATATATCGCACACAAGGAAAATTTAAAGTCACCTAATTGTTTATTTAAAACATGACGCTGCACAAGGTAGACCTTCGGACTTCCGTGCCTGAACACCGATTCAACGCTGTTAAATTGATCGAAAGTGTTGTAATTGCGCTGTATCATCAAATACAAGTCAAATAGGTACTCAAGTCGTACAATAAATTGCGACCAGCATAAATTCTTCATCTGGTTATGATTTCATCATTGAATTCTAACGTTAGAGTTAAATAATGATTAAAATTAAAAAGAAGAAATCTTAATTACAAAAAAATTTACAAAATATGAGAGTTTAACTAATGTATTCTTAAATATACTGCACTTTAATATAAATTGCAGTTAAAATTATAGCAATCGTAATAGCGACTTAAAAATTATTGAGTGAAAAATTATAATAACAATGACCTTCATAATACGCTTTGTAATTACGAGATAAAAGTTCAAAAGATAATTATATACATGTGCGTTTAACTACAATTGCCAAAAAGGCGTTCTGTTAAAAACAAAATTTACTTCTATAAAAATTTTACATGAAAATCAATTTATTGACAGTGGATAATCACTACTGACTCTCGAGTCATAATAATTTTGTTATCGACCGTATGCGCGGCCATTCAGCTCATATTTTCCCGCATTCTCTTGCAGATGACGCATCGTGTCATATTATTATTTTGCGAGCTATATTTTTGGAATTTCTATAAATTCCGAAATAATTAATTAAATAAAAGAGATGGTATTTTCGGTCGGGTGAATTCCGAAACACAATGGCTGGATTCCGATATTTACTGTCAGCAAGCGTCAATACTGAAAATCTATATCTATAATATACATGACGTGAAATATAGAAAAATATAGATTTTCAGTATTGATAGTGAATATCGGAATGTAGCCAATATAAGCAAATTATATGTTAAAAATTAAATTAAATCGAGAACGGAATATTCTCTCTCAATCCTTCCTCGTTTATGAAAACTAAACCAGGATTGAAACGCGTGAGGGATGAAAAAGGGTCATGAATTTCTGATGGAACCTCGCGACTATTTCAAGAACATTTAAATATCATTTTACACGCAAATTGCTATCCTGAAAAGAATATTTATTAATAATTATTTAAAATTTAAATAATATATAATACAAATCTCTCCGGCAATAAAATTATATAACGCAAATAAAATGCGCTGAGAATGATGATATCGTTGCAGACGCATAATAATAAATATTAACGGAATCGGTATAGGGTCTCGGATCGATCTCGCCGTTAACGTCACGTCGTGAAATAAATAACGGCCCAAGTAGCCGCGATGGCCCCCCTTAAATCACTCCTGTGGCTTTCCTGTATTGACCGAAGTGCTCTAGATACTGCTGTATCGTGTCCATCGGCTGATAAATTTCGTTCATTCGGTTCTGCAAAGTTTACAAGAAAATAAGAAACTTAATTCATGTTTTGGGATAAACGCTTCTTTCGCAAAATTACTTAAAATTTTTATATACGTAACTCCTCAATATAAATACATATTTTTCTATGTGAGTATTCACCTGTAGATATTGGGGCGCTTGATTGGACACGGCTGAGCCCAGGAATCCCTGCAGAAACTCGCGTATGAGTTCCCACGCGCTCGCCGCCACGACGCACGGTCTGTACTCGACCTGGGGAATGAAACGCAAGTGATAAAGAAGAAAAAAAGAGATATCGCAGGATTATATCACGGCCTTGGTACCATCAGATCGCGACGCATGTCGAATCGTCGCGCGATATCGCTAATGCTTATCAAGGGAACCGTCGACAGACGCTCGCGGCTATTCCGGAGACCGCGGGCGGGATTTTACGACCCGAAGACGCGGAACACGTCCGCGACACACGGACCTCGTACGTCTCTCGCGTAATCCGGCTTACGGCGGGCGTGTGTCGATGGGGGAGAATCGTGGGAGGAAACGCGGAACGGATGTGTAATCAGGGGGATCCGCGCGACGAACTTCGACGGGCAGCGACGTAAAACGGCGCGCTTATGATAATCCCGCTTGAAACCATCGTATACGAGTATCCATAAGTAAGCAGAGACGCGACTGGACGGACCGAGAGTCCCCCGGGTCCTCTCCCCCGTCGCCCGTCGTCACCGAGTGAATAGCTCGCGCGAGACATGACGAGACAAGTCCTCTTTAGATGGGAAACGTCAATCCCTAAAAATGTCAAAAATTCGATTTCGCACACGTCGTTGGATACTGTCGGCCACTTGGAAAGCTCGACGAGAGAGATCGCGTCTGGATGTGTCAGGATCGGGATATATGTATACGACGATATCGATGTCGGGATGTCGGGGTCTCTCTCGTCCTGTTTTCAATTCTCTCTTCATTCCTCTTTCCACCGCGCGCGGCCTTACGGCCTCCTCCCGCCCCCGGCTACGTTAAGGAAGCTCGGCTAAAAGTTAATATCGCCCTCGCTGCGAAATTGGTACTTCGGCCGGGCAATACGATAAGCGAAATGAAGCCGGAAAAATGGGAACTGGAAGATTCGCCGAAAGAGAGAAAGCGAGGCGCGCAGAGCGCCTTATTCTCCGGCTCGCAAAAATTTGCTCGATAATTTAAAATCTGAAATCCAATTTCACGAATTTGCCCGGACTATAAACCTTTCCGCGCGATCGTTAATTTTCTACATTTTGTAGGAGGAAAGTATCATTGATCCAAATCCAGAACACAAAGTGGTAACGCGGATCGTACAAATGCGGCTGCGTGTCGTGTGAGATAGCAATTTTTCCAGGAAATAAATTGATGTGAAAAAGGTATATCCGTGTAATTTCTTTTACTTCAGTTACGTCATAGAATTGACTCACTTACGCGGGCGAGCATCTCTCAGATGAAACTTCGAATTCCCGAGATTATTCTGGATCCAGCGATGCAAATTAAACGAAAATCTACGGAATTCGCCGGCAATTCGGTCGTGCATGGTCACATATAGCGGTTGGAAATCACGGACGAGATGGCATTATTCCGGACCATACCGGCGGACATTCAATGACGGTACGGTAAATCTCGATCCGAGCGAAAAATCGCGCTTGCGGGTCTGCAAGCGCGAATTGAACCGGGATTGCGTTTGTTAAGTACGAGGCTGCAACGCCAGTCAGTTCCTCGTGCTGAAAAACGGTATAGTGAAAAGTTTTTCCGGGTCATCGGGTGTTTGCGATGTTTGTACGTTCAACTGATAAGTGATTGCAGTCAAGTGTGGGGAGTCGCGGTGGCGAATAAGAGGGCGGAAGGAAGGAAGCGTTCGCCGTTGCCGGGGTTGCCAGGAAGCAGACTTTCCCGGAGAAAAGTGTTCGGGGAGTCGACGAGGGAGGAAGGGAGCGAGGATTTAACGCGCGAAACTCGCGGGGGTTCCACCATTGAAATTAATGGAGGGAGTCGGGGGTTATCGTGACGTATTTGACGTCGCGGTCGCTGTACAAACGGCGCAGTTACCGATACGAATGGCTGCCGCTGGAGCATTTAAACCCGATGTCGCGGTGGATGTGTGTACAGTGTACACACGCGAGAGTGTGGTGTACGTGCCGCCGCACGGCCGGATGAATCTGTCGAGGGAGAGAGGGCTGCGGAAGATATACCGGAAGCCGTATCGTCGGGGAAAACGCTGCGGAGTCTGGGTGATCGTCGACGCGAAGAAAAGGAAGGAAATAGCTTCGGGATTTCTTTCGCGATTCTTATGAGGGTCGGGCGCGAAAAGTGACGTATATTGTTCGTCGCGTTTACTTCTCGGAGTAAAAAAAATTATCGGGAAAAATGTTTATTCAACTGTACGACTACGATTTGCGCGATGAACTCGGCGCGTTAAGCCGGTTAGACGAGCTAAAACTCGTTGAAATTCGCGGATTAATAATTCGCAAGCCGATTAAGTTATTAGCGATGTTAATAGACGAGGCGAACGAAAAAGCGATAATTTTAGAACACGCGTTGCATAAGCGAGATTGTGATTTTGTGTCAAACATAGTCCCCCCTGGGGCAAGCGAATACAATTCGTAATGACGCTCCGTATCGGTGTGCACATATGTATTCTGTATGTTTACAGATACGCGACAGTGCATCCGAGAACTGTGTCCGATAGCACGTGCTCGGGTGTGCGTGAAACACGGTGATGCGTGCCGAAATGTTCGCGCGTGTCCGCGATCTCGCTTCGATCCACATGAAAGCGATCTTCCGACTGTGATTGTTATCTGCTCATTAATTAAGAAGCATCATCGCTTTGTCGTGTATCGATGTTGTGTTAATTACAAAAATATTAAATAATTTCATAAAGGAGCTAGCGAACAAAGCTCGTTCTTAGTGCTTATAATTATATATTACAAACGACGAATATACATATAATATTCCAATTTAAAACTGCGAGCCGATAAATGTCGGACTGAAACACAGCTATCGTTGCATGGAACATTAAAAACCCTTCCCTTCCCGGAATTAAATCGATTTAATTATCTAAAAACTGTAAAGAAATTAAAAACTTGAAGAAATTAAAAAATATTAAAAACTTTTAATGATAATTATTTCTCAGATCCGTGAGCCCTTTTATATTGGTCTATTTGTCCACGAGAGAGAATAAAGAATTATTTTTTATTAAAACAAAAAGGAGACTGCATTAAAAATGACCAAAAATACCCATTTTTTAATTTTTTAAAAGACTTTCTTAAAGCTTTTAAAGACGAGTAATTTTTTTTCCGTGATTTCCGATCCTCCCCCTCAATACACGAAAGGATACGCGTAAAACCGAATGGAAATAATACCGCATTGACGGGGGCGATTTATTGTTGGCATCCGGACTTAATTACGCGATTATTCCCATGCACTCCTGGATCAGCGGCGGTGCATCGGCGGCATGAAATATCTCTGGCGTGCCGTGTTTGACACGCGAGACACGTATTCGCCATATGCGGCGCGACGAGGACGCGAAGGGTGCGTGGCGCGTCCACGTTCCCCCAGAGCGTATCTATAACTGGCGTATGTACATACGTGATTTGCACGCGTACCGCGGGCGGGGAGGGGGAGGAGTGAGCTCTCGTAGCCGAGTTATCAAATCGATAACGCATGCACTCGTCGCGTGATTGGCAGACGGGATACCGGAAGTAGCAGAGGTCCATCCCGAGGTGTCTCTTTCCCGAGTGTGCTATACAAAGTCGCAAGATCCAGAACATCGACTCGCTCGTTTCGCTCGCGGCTGGATTTGAGTGACGCAGAGGACGATTCACGTTTTTCATGACGATCAAAGGGTGGAAGCGAAATGACGGTCGAGAATGAAAAGAGATGATCCCGAATGAGCTTTCTACGTAGAGATAAAACGGACTAAACGTGAGGGAATTTTTACGAGAAAATCGAGACCGAATTAAAAATACCGATGAAACGACGATCCGTTCAGCGAATCGAAATGAAAGATATCACTTTAAAGTTGGAAATTTCCGCGGATCAAAGGCTCGTAGGAAGGGCGAATGGACCGACGATTTTTCGACGTCGCTCTTTCGGGGAATTCCTTCTCTTCTCGAAAGAAATATGGAGTGCGACTCACCTCTACCAGAACGCCTTTGAAATTCTGGCTCATCGTCACGCTGCCCAATTTGACGCAGAAGTCGCCGATCTCAAATCGCGGTCCCTTGGACTCGATCTTCGTTTGCTTCTTACTGGTGTAAATGTTCGTCATTTTTAACATCAGCAGATCGAACAGGCCATCCGCTATCAACGGCACCACTTTGCTGCCCGACTCAAGGAGGGCGAACACCGAGGCCGGTTGCTCCGAATTGTGCAGCACGTGCACGGTCCTTTGAACGCCTGCAAAATCATATAAGCATCATGTTTGAGTACAAATTTTGTTACGTGTTCGATGACGTGTCTATCAAACTGTATAAGGAATAGCAAGAAATAATAAATATCAGCGTCGAATTGCTCGAATAATCAAAGTGAGTCTTTATTATCATTATCGTATCGCTAAAGAGAATTGTCTTTTATTTAAAATCATTAAATTAAATTTGATTTATTAATAATTATCATAATTATCAATTCTGTTTTTATTTTGTGCAACTGCAGACGCTGTCGACCTTGCATTTACACAGACGATAAGTATAGCATTTATACGTACAAATAGCAATTATAGCGTCTCGTCTAATTCGGGCTTCCGTGCAACGACGAGCAGGATGATCGCAGTCGAAAGGCAACCACGCGCGAGAGGCCTTTGGCGGTGCGTACATACATTATCTCTTCTCGGTGGAAGCCCATATGCACGTACCTATATTGCGATCGCGCGGTGAAATCAGACGGCAACTGAAACTTCAACCCCTATCGTTGAAGTTACATCGCGCGGCAGTTGCGCGCCGTCGACTCGCATATCGCGGATCCGCACACGAGGTATGTCTGTCCCGAGATTGTCTGTCGAGATTGTCGGTGCGAGATCGGCGCGTCTTTGCCGGGAGCTTGATATTGCGCGAGTAATAACAATCCTGGTCTAATAACTGCGCCAGTATCAGGTAATTCCGCGACTTGTCCGCGGGCTGCTGCAGGGTAAACTCGTTCGTTACGAAATTAGGAAAAAAAAAGAAGGGAACGCGCTGCTGGAATATAGTTAGGATGCCATTACACGTCCATTGTTCATCCGCAAAGCAGAAACACGCGACGAGCCTAAATTTACGACGTGTGAAACTCTTCTGAATATTCATAATTCGTCCACCACCGCTCCCGCTCAGCTCGTGCTTTCGTCCACGTAATGACAAGGTACGGGTGTGTAGGCCCCCTAACGTATGAATAATTTATAGTAAAATTATAACGCGCCCTTTTAGCGCAACACGATTCAAATGACACGATTTTTCATCCGCGAGGCGAACGACCGCGGACAGTTTTATGCGCTCTAATTTCGGGTTGCCGGCCAATGTGTTTATCGCTCTGGTATAATATTCGATCTAACCGCCCTCCGGGCTACTCGGAAATCATTTCCGCCGTGTCTATATCGTCAAAATCCCGATGCCATCGAAATCATCAGTCTCTCAGAATAACGTATCATGTAGAAATAACTCTATCAATTTTATAATTCTACTAATTAGCGCTGCTAGTTGGTATTTGCGTTGATATTTTGTAAAATTGTCACCGGATGCTCTCGGAGACCGCGCCGAGGCATCAAATACTATTTCCGATCTTTGGCGTTACATCCGTGTTCATGTAACGCAAATAATTCGGCCAGCGAGGACGAAACGTGCCGTTGAAACTCGGTGTACTCTAAGCAGCTTTACGCGCGTTCCGATATATACGCGCGGCTTCTGCAAAACGGTGGACATATACATATATGTATATCTCGTTCGCGCTCGAACGGCCGCAGATTAACGAACGACCGGATTGCTGTCTCTCTCTCTCTCTCTCTCTCTCTCCATCCCCCTTTCTACTCTCCATCCGTCGTCGGGGATCTTCCTCCTTCCCCTCCTAACCCCTTCGCTGCAATTTGCACCAACGATCGGTACTGTGACGCGCCGCATGCCGCATACCGCATCGTCTGCATCGCACGTTATGCGGCGCCGTTACGCGGACGCACCGCAGGTGCCGCAAACGTGGATCCCGCCGTTGTCCGCGTCTTCGTAAAAAAGGGTAGGGGGTAAGAAGAAAAATCAACGAAGGATACCCTTTCTACCTATTCGACCTATTCTTAATAGGTCAGATCGATATTTCCTCTCCACCTGCGAAAACGTCGCGTCGGTGTCTATAGTTCTTTAATGATTAACGGTTGAGAATAATAATGAGGCCGGCTGATGAATTGAGCATCGAAAGAGAAAGGGAACGGGTGGCAAGATCTTCGGTTAATTTCAGACGGATTTTACTTGGATGGAATTTTCACTTGGAGAGCTCGCACAATTGCGAAAATACATATATCACGTGACTGAATAGACGTGATAAATGATAATGCCTCCTTGACGTTTTGAAATTGAGAAAATTCTTTCCACATCGGCCAGAGAAGGCCGCGTTCAAAATTATATAAAACGTATCGAGACATTTTCATGCGTCAAACTGCAAACTAGTTTCTCTCTTTTGTTATTTTTAATGCATGAGCTATTCAATTCAAAATTTATTGCTAAAATTCAGATTATCCGTCGTTGTATTCATCGTTCGAGCATAATGCAATCATGCGTCATCGTCAAACGCATTACTTTAAATTTCGCCGGTAATGCGACGCGTGTCAATTATCAGGCAACGATACCGAGAGCAGGTAATTCCTTTGTTATCCGATTATAGCTATATAGCATCGATTAGTCGGCCGTCGAAATGCAGCATTTCGCTAATTCGTCCGGATACGAGGCGAGAATTTGACGCTGACGAAATTTTCGCATTGCGTATCCAATTCCTAGTTGCACTTTAATGCAGACAAACATTTTAAATTATAAGTGATTCGCCATAAAGGGATGTTCGAGCGCGTGCTTGCGCAAACGTAAACGTAAAACTATAAGATGGATTGCTTTTAATACAAGACAGATATGTTAATCATATAGACTCGGCCAACTAATTATCGCGTCATTTTCTTTCGTCATGTCTTACATCGATGATCGATGTCTCTTCGACGAGAGAACGATAAAATATTTGCTCGCTTATAAACGAAATTTTTGAAAATCTCGCGTCGCGTCAGATCGCGTTTCGTTTTCCCCCCATCTCCGTCGTCGGTCGACGTGTCTCGTTGTGTGTGAAACGGCGCCGCGGCAATTAATTACTTTCATCGAGCCCCGCTCTCATGCTCCAGGTTGCATCTGCTTTGTCGCTCGGCGCCCGCCGCGCCGTGCCGCTGATCCAATTTTCAAGCTGCGAGAGCGCGTCCCGGAATCGCGTCCCGCACGCGAGGGGGAAGAGAAATGTTATTGATGAAGCATTACTATATAAAGCGCCGCATTATTCGCGCGATAAATCAAACGTAATTTCGGACGCGCCGCAAAATATACGCCGGACGGGTTGTACGCTGTACAATGCCTCCGGAGCCTTATAATTAAAACAAGAGCGCGGAGAATTTGCGGCTAGAAGAGGAGATGAATTTCGCAATTATTCAGCATCCGGTTTGCGTGCTGGGAATATTTCAAAATGTGTCAGTCAGTGATACCTATTAATATAGAACAAATTATTCTCGGCGCAAAATGTTTCAAATCGCATTCAAAATATTATCTTTTTAACTGTAGAAATATTGGATTTATAATTATTAGATCATTCTTCTCAAGAAATAAGTATTCTTGAGGAATTTAAAGGTAAACTGGATAAAACGCATAATTTATTTTTTAATGACTCTCTCTGATGTATAAAAGTTTCAAAGAGATTTGCCGCTCGCTTTCTCTTGCCGACAAATTTTTTACTTTATCCGTCAGAGACAGAACACAATAAATACCTGCGTAAATAAATTTGTTAATTAATACGACGTCAAATATTTAACGATAAACGCGACGTTGAACGTGGCACTGCGGCATTTCACAACAGGTGTTTTCATCACGATTTCATTCGATTAATGCGTTTAAGTTACAGCTACTGGCCGGCCAATATTTGAAAAAGCGTTCAACTTGACGGGATAATTTGATGCGGTATTATAGCAAATGGGCAACAGGGATGGATCGAAAGGGATCACTTTCTTCCCTCTCCTCTCGTTCGTCTGTCGGGGAGATTCGCGATCGCTTTATTAAATGTTTCAGCTGCTACCCAGCGGTCGTGTGCCGAACGATCCACCACTCAGTGAAAGTTCACAAAGCCGGTACTTATCTTGTACCACTGGTGAGCGAAAAACGGAGGAGAAATTGCGTTCGACGCCGCGAGACGATTCGCGTCTCCGCTCCGTCGCGCTCGCGAATCCCATGCGTCTAGCATCTTGCGCATTATTAATATCAAGGTGAAACCCGATAAGCTGATAATCAAAGGTCTATCTTGTTCGGATTTGTCGGTCAGGATGTATCAAGATGTCGATATCTGCGAATGAATTTCTAGCCGAGTCGTATCCGATACATCCGAATCGAAGCGTGACTTTGTTACGCGAGGAGCGCAATTCTCTCTCCCGCTGCACGACGAGACGCAATGACGCGTGTGAAGCGCGGTTTGCGGCGATATCGTGACAAATTGACGTTCGAATGTTCGAACGGGTCTGTCGAACGGCAGGCACGAGGACGAGGTTCTCGATTAGCCTCGACCGCGCGGAGATCCTTCCGGTGAGGAGAATTTCGGCCGTGACGCGATCGGGCCGGGTCGATAAAGAAAAAAAAAAAGAGAAAGAGAAAGGAAAAGAGACGGTCACGAGCATGGTCCACCCCTTTTCGTTTTCGGCCCTCACCCCCTCCGGTCGTTTGTGACGTAAACAACTTGGAGCATCACCAGGCGCCATTGTATTTCGGACCCCCAGGGTATTTCGATCCACCGGTATATCCACCCCAATTCCAAAACGAACCCCGCGGGGAAACCCGAGGGGGGGAAGAGGCCACGAGACTCTATTGTCGAGCAATTTATCCTCCATTCAGCTCATCGTGCCGAGAAAGAGCTTCTCACTGGGTGTGTCCGCGTGATCCTTCTCCCCTTCTCCCTCGTATTTTAATATTTTATCGCGACATTAATTAGAATCATATGAAGTTGTTACGTTTATGATATTATCGCGTCGCGTCCTTGTGCGCTCGCTTTACGAGCGGTAATTCAAGGATAAAATCATACCGCGCGTCGTCCTTCTACGTCGTCGTTACATTCCTCGGAGAAACGTCCGGCGAAAATGCAAAGTGTCGCATCGATACGTATCTCGTTATGTCTCCTCGCCGCGCGAATTAATTAGCGACTATTTATACCGGTCG